CTCCCTGAATAAACCCTTCTTCCTCAGCACAGCTCTGGCCTCCAGTAGGCACTGTTGTGCCCCTTGGAATATCACTGTCTCTGTTTGCACACAAGCTGTAGCAGATTTTTGGAAATGTACAGCTTGCATTTCGTGCATTAGTGAAAAACTGACTGCTTTAGTTACAGGGAAAGGGGAAAAGAAGAAAATAATTTTCCTCAGTTCATGGGGAGAATGCAAAACAGAACCACAGTTCAGTATCCATTGCTCATGATCTGCAAACATAACCGAGACCCTGTCAGTTATCTTCTGCATGTTGTGACTGACAAAGTACAAAACTGCTGCCATTAGTATATCAGAGCCAGTTATTTCAGCCTGCAGCAATACGTACTTTTCAGATAATGATTCTGTAGGGGATCCAGAGATGTTGTGACCATTGGCTCCAGATTTTGCCCCTTTCTTGACATTCTCCAAAGATCTTAAGGAAGTGTCAGCACAGCGGGGAATCAATTGGGGAACACCACTTTCCAGACTTGCAATCCCATTAGTACTTGGCACCATCTTCCCTGTTGTTTCAGGGCTTCCTATGACAGAGATTACGTTTCCCGTTGTGGTTGAAACAGTGCTGTTTACACCAACTTTATTTAGAAGAGGGAAGGTTCTCACTGTTGCACTGATTTTTTTGTTCCTTAAACGATACCTATATAGACAAAGACAGTTTGAAGAAGAGATTATGAACAAGGCTAATATTACAGCATTTGAAACTACTGCTCATGCTGAAGCTAAAATGGGGAGAAATAACTGCAAAATCAATATACACATCACTATCATGAAAGACCAACAGCTCCTCCAAGGGACATTTGACTGGTTAATTTGGAAGTAGGTCTGTGTGAAAACAATGTTATGAAGTTGTCCACTATGTAGCTGGTAAAAACAGGCAGACCTTTATTCCTCACTCAGTTAAAACCCAATTGGTAGGTAGCACATCTGTAATGGATACGGAGATGGAACTTTTGCAGGTACCAGGCCTACAGCCAATCTTATGTTGGAGCATTTTGCTTTTTCTGTGAAAGGAATTGAGGAAAGGGTAACGATAACAACTGCTTTACATATGCTGCTAAATTTAAAAGCTCTAATTTGCATAACCAGGTATCTTGCAATTCAAAGATCTCTCAGAATTCAGTCACAAAGGAAGTGACTTCCAAAATTTCATGGAAGCGGTTTTGATCTAACTGAAACAACAGCACCTTTTCCACACTTACTTTTCAAGCTCTTCCTGAGAGTGAGCGAATGTACAGTTAGTTCCTCGTGGACATCCCCCTTGTTGTCGCAGATCTCGGCACATACTTGTTTTATATTTGCTGTTTGGTTGTGGCTTAAAAATAGAAAAAAAAAATCACACTTTATACAGGTCAACGCAAGTAGGTTTTTGAAAAAAATTAAATACAAACACATACATGTTGTTATTTCTGTCTATCCTTTTTATCGCCTTTCAATGAGGAAGTCTCCAAAAGAAGGAATAAATCCACTTCAGCAAAATTGATCTTGCCATGTTTTCAGGACTGTCAGGCCTTCAACACAATGACCACTGTAACTGCAGCCTCATATGAACCGCACATCCAAATTTGAGATTTGTGACTGTTTTCTTAGAAAGTATCTGTTCAAGATGAGACCCTTTCCTACTTCAGTGTTCACAATCAAAACTCTAGAGAAACAAACTAGGAAAACTTTAGAGGAACATACTTATGTCCAATTATTTTAATGAACTCTTCTAATGGTTTTGCAGCAATTAGGACAGACTTGCATTATTTAATTTAGGATATCAAGATAAAATTCCTACAGGGTCATTATATAGTAAGCTGTTTACTGTAACTCTCTGGTCCAGAGGGTAAAAAGACAATTCCACTAACATTCTTCCAAACATGTTTTGAATCAAAAGGCATGTCTCCCTTCCTTGACTCAGAAATTGTCCTTATGCTTCAAACTGAATTTGTATCTATATCCTCTATGTACATATATTTAGGGAAA